GCCGTGTTCTGCTATGCCTGGCTGGTCCCGCTGTGTGTCTGGGGGTTCCTGCAGTGGCGCCGTGGGTCGGAGCACCAGGTCGTCGGGTATTCCTTTCTGGAGACGGTCTGCGTGTACGGATATTCCCTGTCCATCTACATCCCCACCTCGGTGAGCCACATGTCCTTGTCCGACTGCTTTTGAGGCTGGTAGTCCTACATCATTAGCCTGCGCTCAGCCTAGTGTCTGATGGTGCAGTAAGGCTGCAGGCGAGCTGGCGGAGGTCAGATGGGGACAGGTACTACAGTACACGCAGAGGATCTAAGATCACTTCTGATAGCTGGCTGATCCGAGGTTCTGGAATGAATGAGAGCTTGGCACGTTTCAAGGAGACAAGTAATCCTGACTCAGCTAGTCAATTCTCTAAACTTCTCTCCTTTTCTCTTTCTTCCTCTCCGCTGTCCCCTGTCCTTCTCTCAGGTTCTCTGGATTATTCCGGTGCAGTGGTTGCAGTGGCTGCTTATCCTGGTTGCCGTGGCAATCTCGGGTTCGGTGCTGGTTCTCACGTTCTGGCCAGTGGTCCGCGACGACACCAAGGTCACTGCCGTTGCCACAGTGATCGCCATCGTCCTCCTGCACGCGCTGCTCGCCATTGGCTGCAAGGTGAGGCCCGGGGGGCTCCGGGGGGGTGGGCGGCGAGACCTGTACGGTGTCAGCAGCTGTCCACGCCCTTAACCTCCCTTTCCCTCTTCCTCAGCTTTACTTCTTCCAGACCGCCGAGCGCACGTGGAGCCCCACCACACCGGCGGCCACCCCCACAGGGAACCACAGCACCCTGCTGACCCGCACAGCTGTGACACACTGAGCAACACCGGCGGGGCGAGGGGGGGCCAAAGGAGAGGGTGAGGGGATAAGGGAACGAGGGAACGAGGGGAGGGAGGAAAATGGGGGAAAGTTTTTTGTTTTGGAGAAATTATTTATTTTGTGCTCTGGGGGTGGTACACTGGCAGGGGCTCAGGGGCTGGCGGGCGGGCTGGGTGGGCTGGCCCAGCAGTCCTGCACGTTGTCGCCTTCTGAACGGGACAGCGGGGTACCGTGGGAGAGGGAGAGCGGCCCAGTCGCTGCGCAGGATGACCTGTCCCTCCGTCCTGCGGTCCCACGGTCCCGCCGCAGCCCGAGGGGACGGTCAGCGCGGGGACAGAGCGTCGAGTCTCGGGGTTCAGGCACACCGAAGGGAAGGGGATTCCTTTACCCAGTTTGCAGTCAAGTGTTAGGGTTAACCCCATCATGGTTATTTATGTATTTTTCCTTTTGAGATGGAAAATGATGGATCGCGGAAATTAAAAAGTTGTGGGAAGACATCTTACTGTGAACGTGTTCTTTTTACAGGGACATTTCCTGGGTTCGGGGGGGGATCAGGGCCGTTTAACTGAGAAGGAAGATCTGATGGACGTTGGCGTCATGCAGGTTTCGAGAGTTTATCCAGTCTGGTGTCTCCAGTCTAGCTTCCCATGAGCCCAGACTTACAGTGAGCTTTAACCCCTGGCGGAAGACACTGGGAGTACGTAGGGCTTGGGCTGTACAGAACCAGGCATGAAGGAGTTTCTTTCAAAATCGAAAATATCTTGAAGTCGCGGAAGGAGAAAATAGTCCAATTTAAAAAGATATTTTTTTCACAGGATCCTATTATAAAACAGATACTTTCTAAAACCCTTTTCTGTAAAGGGAAAAAAATATTCAGAAATAACAACAGTGCCAACTGCTGTCTGAAGCCTTTTTATCCAGAATCAAGGGTGGAGACTCCCTTCCCGCTGTCCTGGCTGTAGACATGACCGACGTCTCCTCTCCCCAGGTGCGTCTGTTCTGAGCTCTAATTAACCCCATTGGTCCGGTACCGAGCAGTGACAACGCAAGAGCTCACCTTGTGACACTGCTAATGGGGATTCAAGCAGAAGAGGGTTGGTAAATGAGCGCAAACTGTTTCAAGGCACAGTTCAAGGTCTTCTGGGGGATAGGAGGGACAGCCCCTGGGCAGCTGTCTGGCTGCACCCCTGAGCGCTCCCTCTGATCACCCTTTCAGGAGCAGAGCATCCTGGGAATGTGCCCTCCTGCAACTCGGGGGGGGGGGGGCGAACCTGACCTTGTTCTCAAGCCAGAGGCTCTGTGCAGGATGTCAGTACCCTGTTTGGATTTATATTCAGAAGCTTCATTAACTCCGCACAAATTAGTTTTGCTCTTGTGCTACAGTGTGCAACAGTGGGTGGCAGCACATTGCACTCTTGTCAGTACTTTTCCTAAAATTCTCTTTACCATTAATGTCTGAACATTAATGTGTGCAGGGTAAGGACCACTCCTTCTGGTCCCCATGACCAACATTAACGAGTCTGTGCAGCAAACGAAGTACAGCGTCAGGGTTCACACACCTGACACATCCCAGTGAGCCCGGACCCCAAGTCCTGACATTTTGAACTACCCGTCTGCTGAACTGTGATGGCTGCCCTCTGCCCCAGGGGATACCCCTCTGCCCCGTGTGCTGGAACAGGTGCTGCTGCTCATCAGCTCTGTTTTTTTGCCTCGTGCTGCGTCGTGGGCATCATCCCTTCTGCTTTCCCACGCCGACGGGACCGCGGCACGGAGAATCCGACGGTGAAATACAAGCCCTGGGAACTGAGTGGGCTTCATGAAACGGCTCCTTGGAACCCACTCACTCAGGGCGTGGAGAAGCACTTAGCTCTTTGATGCTCTTGACCTCCTGAAGCGGCAGACCCTTCCCCTCCAGCACTGCAGCGGAGACACACAGTGGGCAGCGAAGGGTTAACCCTCGAGCCCTCACTGACCCCCGAGAACTCCTGAGGGGGGGGACCCCACAGCTGAGGGAGAGGTAGAGTGTGGGGGGGACCTCGAGGCTGAAGGAGAGGTACAGTGGGGGGAACCCACCGCTCAGGGAGAGGCTTGGGGGGGGACCCCACACTGCTGAGAGAGAGGCTCCATGGGGGGACCCCTGGACTGAGGGAGAGGTACAGAGGGGGGGGACCCCATGGCTGAAGGAGAGGTACAGTGGGGGGAACCCACCGCTCAGGGAGAGGCTTGGGGGGGGACCCCACACGGCTGAGGGAGAGGCTCCCTGGGGAGACCCCTGGACTGAGGGAGAGGCTCGCCTGAGGACAGATACAGAGCCAGACCGTACAGGAACTCGCCAACGTTTATTTCACTCCACTGTCTCCTTTTTTTATGGTTTTGTTTTTTTTATGTGAAAGAAAAACAAAAAAAAAAAACATTAACTCTACAAACTAGCAGACACAATTTCTTCTTCTTTCTTTTAAAAGTTACTAAATCCAAAATTCAGAAAGGAAATCGGAGCTCTTCTGCGGAGGACGGCCTGGCCCCTGGCCCCCCGTCTCAGTGTCTCAGGCCGCGGTCAGCGGTCAGCGGCCGGACAGGAGGCGCCAGGGTGGGGGGGAGTTGTGAGGACGGGACGGGGGGCTGTAAACAGAGTCACGCTGCTGTTCTCTTGTCCAGCTGCAGAATTCCAGGTGGCCCGTCTTCCTCGTTCCGCGCCCCCCAGGAGAGAGAACCGCCCCCAATCGCGCCCTCTTCAGCTGTCCGGCCCAGTCAGGCCCGGCCCGGCGGTCGGCCGCGATGACACCAGAGCCGGGCGCTCGTGCTGGATGCGGGCAGGGGGGTACCAAATCAGGACGAGCCCGAGAGCTGTGGCCACGGGAGGCTGTAGACGGACACGGGGCGGGACGAGGGCGGGACGAGGGCTCTCTCGGGCGCCAGACGGCTCCGGGTTCTGGTCCGTAACCCCGGTCGGAGCGGGCCCGCGGACTGCACACAGCGGCACCGAGGACACGGCCTCAAAACGGCCTGGAGGCGCAGCCAGGAGAGACGGATGGAGCCCGAATAGCGACGGGAACAATCCAAACCCACCGGAAACCAGGAGGCGGGGGGCCGGGGGTCCAGTCGGGCACCGAGACGAACAGACAGACGGGTCTAGTCCAGCTTTCCAGCGTGTCTGCACATCTACAACTGGAGGAACGAGAGAACCACAGCCAGCCCAGTCCTGAGGCCGGGGAGCAGGCAGGGAGGGGAACTGCTGCCCTCTTGTGGACAGAAGAGGAAGCAAAGCTGCTGCTCGGTGTAAGAGGGACCCCACTGGGGAACCTGGTTCAGTTCAGAGGGGCAAGGGGTGAAACAGGAGACACAAAGAAGAAGGGGATGGGGGAGGGGGTGGCAAAACAATTCATCAGTGGGAGTAAGCCGATTGGCTGACCCACCGGTCTGTCACTCCCTGACGGGCTGCTGCGTTCATGTCATTGGCTGCACGTTCGACGGGACCCGCCTCCCTGGCAGCGACAGCAGGGTGGGCGAGTCAACAGGAAGGCCCCCCTCGGGCGGAGCAGCTGCACCCCTGGGGCGAGAGGCAGGAGTCTGACGGGGGAAGGGGGGACCAGCCCAGCAGGTGAGGGAGTGGAGGAGGCGCGAGGAAGCAGCAGACCGTGGTTTTGGTTTCCTTTGGGTTGTCAGTTCAGAGGGGGCGGGGCAGGGGTCGAAATGGGCGGGGCTTAGCTGCCGTAGTGCATGGTGTTGCTAGGGATTGCCATGGGTGACGCCATGGAGATGGCCGGCCCCCCCATGGTGAACTGGCTGTTAAGGGAGTAGTGAGCGCTGCTGCTGCTGGCACCAGGCTGGACCGCTGACACTCCTGGGGGGGGGGAGAGACAGGAAATCGTTTCAATCAACAGACCACAGGCACCAGGGCCACCATACTGACAGGAACCCCGGCAGAAACTCACTCTCACCCTGGACGATGCCCGTGCTCATGATGGATCCCATCCGAGAGTGAGTGTGGTTCACGATCCCTGTGTTCGCTGGAGACGAAGGGAGACACATTACGAGCGGTACAGAGCCAACACACTGACGAGCAGCACTCATAACACACACACACTGACATGCAGCACATGCACACACATACACAGCACAGACACACAGTCCTGCCCCACAAGGGGGCTCCCACTCAAAACACAGTCCTGCCCCACAAGG